TAATACGCGCTCTCCACCAACAGAAGGGATAAAGTGGATTTTTTTTTCCCCAAAGCGTCTTTTCTTATGATGGAAAACACATGGCCCTCACTTTTAAAACTCCAAGATCTTTCCCTTCCAATGACTCAGGGTCCTGGGTGGCTAACACCTGGAGCAACAGTACCTTTGGGGCCTGAGCTTGCTTGGAAGGACTGACTGTGCCTATCTCCTGTTTTGCCCAGCCTTTCGGCTCCAGCCCAGCCCACCCGGGGGTGGAGCCCCACCAACGACCGGTTCATAAACCCGGCCCAGGCCTCTGGGCTCGGGACGTGCCTGAAGTTTGCAGCTCAGCAGGAAGTTGGGGATTGTCCGCAGGCACCTGAGGAGGGCGACCCCGGCTCGCGCTGGCCAGCTCCGCGCGCAGCCCGCAGCCAGGACGGACCCCGAGCGCCCCTCGCCATGGCAGCGCCGTCGCAGCTCCTGATCCGCGGGGGTCGCGTGGTCAACGACGACTTCTCGCAGGTGGCCGACGTCCTGGTGGAGGACGGCGTGGTGCGGGCGCTCGGCCCAGACCTGCTGCCGCCCGGGGATGCGCCCGCCGGACTGCGGGTCCTCGACGCTCGCGGCAAGCTCGTCTTGCCCGGCGGCATCGACACGCACACGCACATGCAGTTCCCCTTCATGGGCTCGCGGTCCGTCGACGACTTCCACCAGGGCACCAAGGTACCCACCCGCGCCGCGACCTCCACCCCCGATGCTCTCTAGCTGCCCAAGGCGTCGCGAGCCAGGGACACCTTGCGCCTGCGCAGCGCGGGGGGACTGGGTGAGCAGAAGCGAGCCTCAGAGTCCCCAGCGGTTGTAGAGCTAGGATTAATTGATTCTTCTTGGCGGAGGCGACTTCTTCCAGGCGCCCCTGTTTGGTGACTTCAGCCCAGTCTTGCCTAAGCTAGATGCCGTCTAGTCTGATTGGGGAATTTGACAAGTTTAAGGCAACCCATGCTCTTACTCTCATTTCTCCCTAGTTTGTACCTCAAGAATCTCCCATTTTTGCTGGTGTTCTGAGCAACCAGGCAATTTCACAAGTTTTCCATAAGATCTATGGAATCTTTTTCTTAGGTCTATACTCCCAGCCATTTCTTCCCCCATCTTCCACCCCCAGACAGAATCAAATAAAAAAATCCATCCATCTAGCAACGTTGACGAGAAGTCTCAGAAATAGGGTCTGGGTGGTCTAGAAAGCCCAACCCATCCATAATCTTTGCCCCCATACCTCCAGTCCTGACTGGGGTTAAGAAGAGAAAATATTCCAGAAATGATATCTCACTCTGCACTCAAAATCTTAGCACTTACATTCACACCAAGGCGGCCTCGCCCCATCTCTTCTCCTATATCTTGCCCCAGGGACATCAGATCTTTTTTTTTTAAATTTTTCAAACATTTATTGTGGAAATTTTCCTACATACAAAGTAGAGAGAACAGTTTAATTAACACCATGTACCCGCAGCCAGCTTCAACAAACAAGCAGCATTTTGTCCATATTTTCTCATTATTCTTCCCCACATCTTTTTATTGTATTTTTTTAATTGATGTTCAATTTCCAGTTAATGTTCAATATAGATAACCCATTTGCCAATTCAACATTTTTCATGAATACAATTCACTGAGATCAGTTACATCAATCATGCTATGCTACCCTCACTAACATCCTTTGCCAAATTTTCCATCCACACACACAGAAACTCAATGTTCCTCACGTTTTAAAATGCAAATCCCAGTCATCATACTATTTCACGCATAAGTACTTCAGTATGTTTATGTAACAGATAAGGACTTTTAAAAAAAGTGCAATAATCATTATCACACTTGACACAATTACTAACAAATCCTTTGTATTATCTAACCAAACTGATGTTCAATTTTCCCAAATTTTCTTTAAAATATATTTTAAAGTTAGTTTGCTTGAAACAAAATCCAAACAAAGTCTTAAAACTATCCGGTTGACATGTCTTTCTTTTTTTTAAATTGTTGAACTATGAGTGAAAGTTTACAATTCAAGTTAGTTTCTTATACAAAAATTTATACATACATTGTTATGTGACCCTAATTGCTCTCCCTATACTGTGACAGCATACTCCTCCTTTCCATCCTGGATTTCCTGTGTCCATTCAACCAGCTTCTGACCCTCTTTGCCTTCTCATCTCGCCTCCAGAAAGGAGCTGCTGATTTAGTCTCATGTATCTACTTGAGCTAAGAAGCACACTCTTCATGAGTATCCTTTTATGTCCCATAGTCCAGCCTAATCATTGTCCGAAGAGTTGGCCTCAGGAATTGTTTTAGTTCTGGGTTGACAGAGAGTCCGGGGTCCATGCTTTCTGAGGTTCCTCCAGTCTCAGTCAGACCATTAAGTCTGGTCTTTTTACTAGAATTTGAGTTCTCCACCCCACCTTTCTCCTGCTCCATCAGGGACTCTTTGTTGTTTTCCCTGTCAGGGCGGGCATTGGTGGTAGCCAGGCACCATCTAGTTCGTCTGGTCTCAGGATGATGCAGTCTCTGGTTTATGTGGCCCTTTCTGTTTCTTGGGCTAATACTTTCCTTGTGTCTTTGATGTTCTTCATTTTCCTTTACTCCAGGTGAGTTGGGACCAATTGGTGCATCTTAGATGGTCGCTCGCTAGCTTTTAAGACCCCAGACGCCACTCACCAAAGTGGGATGCAGAACATTTTCTTAATAAACTTTGTTATGCCGATTGACCAAGATGTCCCCTGAAAGCATGGTCCCCAGACCTCGACCTCCACCCCGGCTACTCTGTCCCTCAAAGTGTTAGGATGTATTCAGGAAACTTCTTAGATTTGGGTTAGTCCAGTTGTGCTGACTTTCCCTGTAGTGTGTGCTGTCCTTCCCTTCACCTAAGATACTTCTTGTCTACTATCTAGTTAGTGAATACCCCTCTCCCTCCTTCCCCACCCTCGTAACTATCAAAGAATGTTTTCTTCTGTAATTAAACCTTTTCTTGAGTTCTTATAATAGGGGTCTTGTACAATATTTGTCCTTCTGTGAGTGACTAAATTCACTCCACATAATGCCTTCCAGATTCCTCCACGTTATAAGATGTTTCATGGATTCATCATTGCTCTTTATCATTGTGTAGTATTCCATTGTGTGAATATACCATA